TCAGCAAGGTTTCACAATTAATATATGCTTCATTTTACATATAAGTCATCATAATTCCATATTTCTATGGTAGGTAATTGAAAGTGCGTAGGGAAATGAAAGGTTGGTGCAACCATTTTTTGTTAATTATCGAGAACATGTGGGGGATGGACATGACTGGCTTTTTTCAGCTTCCAACTATTTTGTTGGCTTTAAAAAAATGACTTTTCATGACGTTGAGATTCGAAAGGCCACTTTGAAAAGGATTAACAATCAGTAGACAATGACATTTTATGTTCCCTAGGGATTTTTCAGTTAGCACACTACTCAATTTAAGAGAACTTGCATTGACAATTCCCTTTTTTGGGTTCCACAATTCTGTTATATATATATTTATAGAACATAGAATTATAGATTTATAGTTATCCAGTCATAGATATTAGCTATTGTCCTTTGCCAGTCGATTAAACAATACTGTTATGTAATGGTTATGGTTTTTTAGCTAAAGAGTATGGAACTTTTAAATGAAGTTACTGAATAAAACTAAAAATGATGTGCCATCTTTGTTATTCAGATTGCTTCTGAAGGTCTTAAGCATCGTGTGTTTGAGGTATCATTAGCTGATCTTCAGAATGATGAAGATAATGCCTTCAGGAAGATTCTCCTTCGGGCGGAGGATGTTCAAGGAAGGAACGTCCTGACAAATTTCTGGGTATGCCAGATTTTGTGGTTTGAATAAAATGTACTGAACTACCATGATGATTTCTGATTGGCCTATCGTTCACTGCAGGGCATGGACTTCACTACGGACAAGTTGAGGTCACTTGTCAAGAAGTGGCAGTCTTTGATAGAAGCTCATGTTGATGTTAAAACTACTGACAACTATACCCTCAGAATGTTCTGCATTGGATTTACTAAGAAGCGTGCGAATCAACAAAAGAGAACATGCTATGCCCAGTCCAGCCAAATTCGCCAGGTGAATTATATATCCATTAGCTGTGGTTGTGTTATCTCTGCCCCTTATTATTCTTGTTTTCTTAAGAATGACCTGTTTTTATATTTAATTTTTGTAACAGATTCGCCGCAAGATGCGAGAGATCATGGTGAACCAATCTCTATCATGCTCACTCAAGGATTTGGTTGAGAAGTTCATTCCCGAGGCAATTGGTAGGGAAATCGAGAAGGCAACCACAGGAATCTACCCGTTGCAAAACGTCTTCATTCGCAAGGTCAAGGTCTTAAAAGCTCCAAAGTTTGACCTTGGCAAGTTGATGGAGGTAAATGTTTTTACTTGAATATCTGTTCTCTAGTATTATAATTTTTTTGTTGGATCCAAGTTTGTCACCAGACACTCTTGTGTGGAGTATAGAATATTGATTTACTTAATTCCTTGCGTGTAAAGGTGCATGGTGACTACACTGAAGATGTAGGTATGAAGTTGGAAAGGCCTGCAGAAGAGACAACTGAGCCAGCTGCAGAACCAATCGGAGCCTGAAATGAAACTTAAAATTTGATTTCAAAAGCAAGCATTTCTTTCCTGAACGAGCTGATTTAATGTTTAATGTGGTTTTTAGTCTGTTTTGACAATTTTGAAGCTTTTTAATGTGTATTCAGAAGATTGGTATGAATGCCGTCCTGCTATCCTTTTATATTGATGATATACATTTGTTAAAAACTATGGCATTTTGTAGTTTCGTCGGGTACCATCTTTCAGGAAATAGTTATTTACAAATATGGGCGTTTCTTTCCTCTGAATAGATTTGAGACTGAGTAGATAACTGTCGTAATAATGACTTGTGAAATGTTGAGGTTGCCAATTCGGATGGGGTGTAAAATGTGTAATCTGAAATGGTCTTGCACTGATTTGTAATAAATCACTTGATCGGTTGATCCCGTGCTTTTTTTAATCGGCATATCATTTGCGAGTAAAAAGATTTATATTTAGACTCTTAAATAGAAATTGTTTTAATAGAAAATGTACTAAATAGGAGTAAAAATGTTTTGAAATTCGAAATAGGATTTTTATGTTTTTATTTTTATTTAAAGAATAAAAAACATAATAGTTCTATTTTATAATATCAAAACTTTTTGGGAAAACTATAAGTCCCGTACTATATCGAAAAAAGTTGATTAGGTCTTTGTACTTTACAAACACTCAATTAAGTCCTCGAAATATTAAAAAATCGTTCAATTAAGCCCTTTTGGTCGGTAAGTAACCGGTTTCCCGGTTAAATGTAACCCGTTTCTCGGCAGTCGCTGTTGTTGGGGTTCGAGCACATCGTCGCCGTCATCGCTGTTTAACCGAGATACCGATTACTTACCAACCAAAATGGCTTAATTGAACGTTTTTAATAGTTCGAGAACTTAATTGAGTGTTTGTAAAGTACGAGTCCTTAATCGACTTTTTCGACATAGTACGGGGCTTATTTGATAGTTTTCCCAAACTTTTTTGTTTCTATTTAGGGAATTCTATTTTGTTTTAACTTTTCGATCAGCTTGTTGCTGTTTGGACTTTTGGGTTAAAGAAGTCTTTATTGATTTAATTCTAAACTTCCTCATTAGATGTCGGAGTTATTGTGAGTTATATACATGACATGAGAGGTTTAAAGGATCAATTCCTACAAGTCTTCTACCAAAAAACTGTCGAACTGCAAAGGTTTGGGAGGGAGATGAACTTTAGTAGGCTACATTTTAAGGATGTTTTGTTTTGGACTGAAATTGCTGATCTGGTCTGGTCTGAACTGGCTTAGTCAGGTTTGATAAATGTTTGGTCTCTGTGTATTTTATGACTATGGAAGTTTGTGAGAGGTTTAAAGGATCAATTCCTACAAGTCTTCTACCGAAAAACTGTCGAACTGCGAAGGTCTGGGAGGGAGATGAACTTCAGTAGGCTACATTTTAATGATGTTTTCTTTTGGACTGAAATTTGCTGATTTGGTCTGGTCTGAACTGGCCTGGTCTGGTTTGATAAATGTCTGGTCTCTGTGTATTTTATGACTATGAAAGTTTGGTTTGATCTGGTCTGATCTGGGATTGAAAACAGTCCAAAAGAAAACATCCTAAATGAGGCAGAAACTTCATGGTTATCCATTTTTCTGATGTTGTATAGAGTGGTCTGCAACTTTATAGTTTAGTTGTGTATGGAGGCCGCAACGTGGATTGGGCATGAGATGTGTCCTGGTAGGATGTTTTCTTTTTTTACTTAAATTTGTTGGTTTGAAGTTTGAACTGGTCTGGTCTGGTAAATGTCTGTCTTTGTGTATTTTATACCTATGAAAATCTGGTTTAGAATTGAAAACAGTGAAAACATCATTAAGCTTAATGTGGATGTTGCAATGAAGAAAGGAGGGGTTGGCGGCACCGCAGTAGGCTAGCCTGGGTTTGAGACTTTGAGTAGGTTAGACAAGGTGCCGGGACTCGTGAGTTTTTTTAACTGCAGGACCATAGCTAGACCTGGGCCGGATAGGTACCGACTCAGGTTTCATTTTTGGTACCGTGTAGGCATGGACCCGGTTCGGGCCGCCCGGCCCGGGACCGGCCCGGCCCGCCACTGTGCGAGCCCGGAACCGGCCCGGTTCTCGGGTCCGGGTCCGGATCGGGCCTAGGCCCGGTGGGGTGGGCGGGTCCGGGCTCGGGCCTTGTATTTGGCGAACCGGCCCGGCCGGGTCGGGCCCGGGCCCGGGCCGAAATGATTTTTTTTTTATTTTTTTTTTTCATTTTTAGGGGTTAGGCGGGTTGGGCTTGATGGTTAGGAGGGGTTTGGGGGTTTGGGGGGGTGGGGGGGTGAGTGGGGGGGTTAGGAAAGCAAAAAAAAAAAAAAAAAAATATGACCGAACCGGAGGCCCGGCCCGGCCCGGCCCGGCCCGGACCCGGACCGGACCCGGTGGCTACCCGGGCCGGTCCCGGGCCTCCCTTCCCAAAAAAAAAGCCCGGCCGGGCCCGGAACCGGAACCGGCCCGGCCCGGGTCCATGACTAGTACCGTGTCATTCCTAGTTCTTTATCCTTTGCATTTTGTCTATCCTGAAGCAACATAAAAGGAGTGAAAGTCTATTAGGCCATTAGCTGAAAAGGAAGGTGGAATGAATAGACGGTTAAAATCTAAAAAAATAAAAATGTGTCCGGGATTGAACTGGCAAGTGGATCAGAACCGGCTCAAAATTTGAAATGGGAGTCTCAATTTTGTGCCTCACTAAGGCCATCTCCAACAGTTTACACTATTTTTTGCACTAAAATGGAAGTCTCAATTTTGTGCCTCGCTAAGAGCATCACATCATACAATATTTTATCTCCGACAGTTTACACCATTTTTATCACTAAAAAGGAATATTGCCTTTTTATTCTTTTTACTAACTTTTTACCATTATTATATTTAATTATCTAATTATCATATATTTATACATTAGCCCCTCGTTTAAGATGCATTTTGGCATTTCACACATTATTTCACAAATATGTCATTTAATAATGTATTATGTGTGATTTTAATAATGTTTTTTTTTAAAATTTTAATGGTGTTCCAGACAACTCATCCCGCGACAGACAACTTGTCTGTGGGGGACAGACAAGTGTACAAATTGTGTGTACAAAAAGTGTGTACCTCAATCTTTTTTTATAGAATAATCGTACTCATGCGAGAGTTTTCATTTAGCTTGCAATATTTAGGGATGTTTGGAACTGATTCTGCTTCTTTTTTAAAGCAGAAGCAGAATCAAATTCAGAATCAGTTTTTAGAAGCTGGTTTCCCCTACTTCTAAAAAAACTGATTCTAGGAATAAATTAGAACACCAGATTACTCTGCACTTTCACAGTTTCACCCAAACACTCTAACTTCTGATTCTACTCCCTGAACGAATAGAAACAGTTTTAAGAATCAGATTCAAACAAGGATACCAGGTCGAGAAACCCTTACATATTCAAAGTATGTGACTAGTGGATAAAACTTAAAATATTGAAAAATACCGATGTCAACTACAAATATGTTTAGAATTGAACCAAACTTCAAAGATTCAGTTCTTGTTTTTTTCCGTTAGTTTTTTAAAATGTCCTACAAATCACCGTTAACTTTGTCATAGAAAGACATTCAATGTTCAAAATGATATGAAATGCAAATACACTCAAGTTTATCATCATATTAAACTTCAAAAGTTAAGTTTTAAACAAGTACATAACAAACTGAAATTTATTACCACTTACCCATATGTTGTTTTTAGGGTTTAATGCATCAAACCCCCCTGTGATTTGGAAATTTGGCACATTAGCCCCCTGTGATTTAAAAAATGCGTCAAACCCCTCTGTGTTTTAATTAATCATGCGCCAAATCCCTTATGTGAACAAATTCAATTGTCAAATAAAAGAAAAATGATTAACATTTTTGTATGATTCACATATTTTGACATATTTATTTGCATATTCAATCAAAATATTAGGAAAAGTGATTTTCAAATCGTTAAATTTATTCATAAAGGGGGTTTTGTGCATGATTAATTAAAACACAAGGGGGTTTGGCGCATTTTTTAAATCACAGGGGGCTAATGCGCCGAATTTCCAAATCACAGGAGAGTTTGGTGCATTAAACCCGTTGTTTTTATTAAAAAAAATTGCCACGAACCCCATCCCCATGTCAAGGAACTGCCTGGGATCCGAAGTCTAAACCGGGTGTATCTCTCGGTGTACTAGAAATTATACATAACAAAAGGCAGCAACAATCCATTTCGCAAATTCCCATTCAAAAGAATTTCATCATACCAGATGAAAAAGGGGATGGATCTGAGAAGCATAAAATAATTTCGTATAATGCATAATGCAGCTTTTCACTAAACCAAGTGGAGCCGTTGCTCTTATTAGTATCAAAATTCATGATCTACAACCAAAAACATGATGCGCTGGATACCAGCCAAGATTCAAGAATGAAGTTTGGCATGTTTCTCCTGAATACTTTTAAACCACAAAAATTCTTAATACCAACATACACAATGCAAGAAAAAAGTCCTCTTTAATTGTCAACAACCTCAATCAAGGTGCACTCGTAGTCGTCAGGTGCTTCAAACCCATGCAGATTCATCACAGTTGCAGCAACATTAGCAAGACCACCACTTGGGACATCTCGCCGGAATCTAACTCCTTTGCTCAGACCAGGCCCACCAATTGCAATAGGTACCTGAACAGAATAGTAGATAATGCACATCAGGATGCTTGTTCAAGCAAGGAGGGACAATTTCAGCAGGGGATCAGTCCCAAGCTTATACAAGAACCTCATTATGTTGAAAAGATAGGTCAGGTAATTTATGCACTACTTATAAATACATATATTATATCTACTCATATTTATTATCTACTTAATATATAGTTAATATCTACTTATTATATACTACCTCCGTCCCAATTTACTTGGCCATCTTTGACTTTTTCAGTCAAAGATGGTAAACTTTGACTAATTATTTTAACTAATATATTTATGCAAGATTTGATAATTTTATACTTTTATGATAGTATTTTTAACAAAAAACATTTTCATACCATTTTCAAATTATTAATACTTTTTCTACATAAACATATAATCGGTCAAAGTTAGATGTCATTGACTTGAAAAGTCACGTTTGGCTAAGTAAAATGGGACGAAGGGAGTACTTATATTTACTTATATTACATCTAATTAATATATATATATATATATATATATTAAAGTATTAAATATAAGTGTACTACTCATCTTATAGTAGTAAACTTATATATTATATACTATAAACAATATACGGAGTATTATACTCGTATATTAGTTACACTTTAATTAATATTAGTTAAATTCATCCTATTACTTATACTCCACACTACCATTAATTAGTATACACATTCATACATTTTTCCTATTAGTTACATTTTTTATTAATATTAGTTCATTGGTTAATTGTTACATTTCTCATTAAAGTATAAAAGTAGTTAATTGTTACATTTCTCATTAAAGTACTAGTATAAAAGTAGTTAATTGTTACATCATTTATAAGAACATCAGCTGGGTTCAGCTTACGTCAATGCTTGTTAAAATTGTCCATGTGTTTGAACTTTGGCTTGGCAGTGTTTATTAATTCAATTTAGCGACTTACGTCAAACTTTGTCCCTGTCTAGGTAGAAATAGGACTGTTAGGGTCGCATGTTAACTCATAAGATCGGATGATCTTATTTCTCCGAAGGGCCTGGGAGATCTGAGTCATAGGTATGATTGGGAATTTAGGTCAGAACAACGAATTGACATGCGGGATCGAACAACCGACGGGCACTGCTTGGATCTAAAAGGTGTGAGGTGGAATGAGGCGTTTGGGTCAATTTACCCGAGGTGTGAGATGTGCGCCTCACGAACTTAACCATATAACTTTAGTAAAGTATATTTATACTACTTTTACATTAAGTCTTCTTCCACAAAATGATTACATCACATAAATACCTTAAGCCATTAAACAAGCTTAATAAACACCTAAAGAGATTTTTTTAAATTCAAACAGTACCAAGAAGCATAGTAAATGCCAAACTAGCTACCGAACTTTATGCATAACGAACCTTAGCTACGAACAAACATTCAAGTTTCTCTAATAATAATGGAGTAAAATTCAAACAATATGTACTATTGGAGGACTACTCCCCAACTATTACTTATATATATTGGAGTAATAAACTGTTAATAGTAATTTTTAAACAATTAAAAGAATTGTTTTAATAAATTATTATATAATCAATTGTTCATAATAATAAACTGTCATATAAAACTGTTATATAATAATACATAGTTAATAGTAATTTTTTAACAATTGGTTATATACTTAATACTTGTAATAAACTGTTAATTATTAACTTTTAAACAATTAATAGTAAATATTTTATTAAACTTTTATATAATAAAATGTTAATAATAATAAACTATCATGTAATACATGGTTAATATTTGTTTTAATTACACTGTTAAAAGTGATGATTTTTACAATCTGAGTGTAGAAAACATCTTTATTACCCCGCATTATTTAAAATTCATTAACTATCTGATTGTTATGTGCTTATTTATTTAAACAACTTGAAGGTCAAATATTTGGATAATTTAAAATAGAAAGAGAAGAAAGAGACCAAGAGCAATTAACATTAGTATGGAAAACTTGACTTCCATCCTAAACTCAAAGGATAGAAAAGGTAGCCTGATGTCATATACTCCATATGTTGATTTTTTTATTTCAAATGTAGCCTATGTGAGACAAATTCTTCGACATTGCCAACATTTTTGGGACATAAGGAGTAGTTACTTACGGGTTCACAAGTGTGAGAAGTGAGGATCTGGATGTTTCCATTCTTGTCGAGAAGTGGCTCTCCCTTCTTGTTTCTCTTCACCATGTCTTCTGCATTTCCATGATCTGCCGTAACAACATAAATTCCCCCAACTTGTTCTATTGCATCAATTATCATCTGCATGCATACACACCACACGCTCTCAAATCATTAATTAAAAAGAAATGATCAACACACTCTGAAATAAACATAAATAACATTACACAGCCAAAACAGGCGTTGCAGAAATCATTAGAGCTATGATACTTGTACTTTCATAGTTGTAAAAATGAAACTACAATCTCTCAGTTAGGATAAAGAAAGCAAATTATATTTGCAAGTCTAGCCTAAGGGTCCATTTGGATCATGGACGGGAAGGCTTGATTTTTCCTTGATATTATTTTAATTTGGGAGAACTACCAAATAGGCCCTCAAACTTACATAAAAAGTGCAAATCACCCCTTCTATAGGAGGTTCTGTCCGGCTGTCGCCATTTGGGGCGGTTCCCGGTGGAATTTTTTGATGACATTTTTTGAGCATCTTATTCATCAAGTCTAGTTTACACATACCAAATTTCAACCGGGAAGGCAGTCAAATGATTTTCAGAAATATACTGCGCTGTTTAATTGCGCAGTTATCTTCAAAAATTCATTTGACTGCCTTCCCGATTGAATTTTTAGCTGAAATTTGGTATGAGTAAACTAGACTTAATGAATAAGATGCTAAAAAAATTTCATCAAAATATTCCACCGGGAACCGCCCCAAATGGTGACGGCCGGACAGAGCCTCCTATATAAGGGGTGATTTGCACTTTTTAAGTAAGTTCGAGGGCTTATTTGGTAGTTCTCCCTTTTTATTTATAGTGAAATATGTAGTATTAACAAAACATGTGACCATATAACATTTCCATCACTTTTTATTTGTTTTATTGAGCATTTTGTTTATCAGGATCTAGACAATGACCTCCAAAGCCATCATTAGCCATGCCATAATAAAAATCCAAAACCAAACAGACACTAAAAATTCATAAGAAAGACGTGAAGTCTATGAAGATATATTTTACCTTGACAGCTTGATCGGCAGATTTGCAAGCTTCAATAGTTGCTTTAATGTCACCGGTATGTCCCACCATGTCACCGTTTGGAATGTTAACACGTACCTGTGAAATCGATCATCAGCATACATAATACAGTTATACAGCTATAGGACCTGGTGGTAATTTCCTTGTCCACATACAACTCATTCTTCTGTGATGTGAAAATTTACGTACCTGATCAAACTTGCCGCTAAGAATAGCATCTCTAGCCTTTTCACCTATCTCTGTAGCCTTCATTTTTGGCTGGACATTGAATGTTATCCCCACATCACTTGGAATTTCAACATACTCCTCCATATCAGCATTAAAATATCCAGAACGGTTCCCATTCCAGAAAAAAGTGACATGTCCAAATTTGACAGTTTCACTGTCCACGTGTAATGGCGTATAAGTAATAACGTCAAAATCATACAAAAAAGTAAAATTAACAAACAAGAAGAGACAAAGAGGAAATATAAATCCCAAAATGTTCCCAGACGAACTATCTGAGAATTTACTTTTGTCGCGAATAGAGAGCTTTCATTTTATTTAATGTACTATTTAGAAAAAAGTGTCCCAACATAATCAGCATATTAGACTTAGTTAAACCAGCAAGTACAAGTTAAACAAAGTTTACTAAAATACAAAAGTTGTACGTTGGTGAAATGGTGAAACCAGGTTTAACTGTTTAAGCACCCTCTCCCCTGCATACTTACTTTACTCTGAAGTGCTTTTATTTGATATTTTACCAACTTCAAAACATGTTCTAGCAATTTAAAAGCAAACTGCACAAATGCGTTTTAAAAAGCTCTGGCACACTCCTAATATTAATCTGCATGTTGGTCGCATTTACTTTATTTTTGTATCTTTAATCTTTAATTAATGTCTAGTCTCTACTACTCTTTTCATGTCACCACTTATGTTGCCCGTTGTTACTTGTTAGTACCTTCTAATGACAATATGACATATATCTAACTTCTGGAGTTACGCTAGATGTGCAATAACTTACCTGCAAGCAAAAGTACGAACACCATTGTGCACCAAGTATTCCCCAGAAGTTCTGTCAATTTCTGGAGGAGAAACAAGGTAATGGCTAGGAAGCTTCAACTCCCCATCATACTGTAGCATACCAGCATACCGGATTTTAGGAACCCGGACACGATCGAATTTATCAAAGTTTTCATACTCAAGGGCCTTTGCTAACATAACCATACGATCTGCACGGAAGTTGAAGGTCACGACAGCATCACCATCTACAATGGGCCCAACGGGCTTTCCATTTTCATCCACAATGACAAATGCCTGTAAGTACTGATCATTTGCACCCGGAATCTCCCTAAGCTTCTTGACAGCTTCTAGACCATTCCTAAACTTGTTTGGAGCTTCACCTAGAACTTGGGCATCCCAACCTCGCTTTACAACATCCCAATCATTCTACATAGCATGAAAGATTACTCAGTATAAACTTTTATTTATAGAGTAAATGGTGGGACTTGAGAGGTTTATAAATGCGAAGAAAAATAATAACTGAAGGCACAAAAATGGCCCGAGCGATTTTGGTACTCTTCATTTTAACTTATATGTCCGGTGCTGTAACTTTTTTTTACATAAAACACTACATAATGGAAAAAAGTAGTGCATGATTCTTATTTTGAAATGGCTTAAACTGATACTGCTACATTGTTTAGTGCATTGTTCAGATTGTTTTTTAAAAAATTGGTCTCTCTCAAATCAAGCAATTCAACTTATTCAAACAAGATCAGCGAAATTATCACTTTAAGTCACTCCCTTCATTTTAAACCTTACCAAGCAGGACCTTATCAAAGATGAAGCATAGCAATAATAGCTCGTAGTTGGCGGGACAAAAATACACATGTAACAAAATAGGAAGAGAATGGACACAATAAAGGAAATCGTCAAGTACACTCACGTCATATCGATCCATCGTCACATACATGCGACCTCCACCTGATGCAACCTGAGCATCAATGCCCTTTTCGCGCAATTTTGCAAGATCATTTTCAAGGGTTTCCATGAACCCTACACTTGAACCGTCAAGTACATCACGCCCATCCGTTAAGGCATGGACACGGATCTTTTTGGCACCACGATCAGCAGCACCGTTCACCAACAGCTGCATCCAAGATTTACTTACTCATTTTCAAATATCTAATATACATCTATCAATTGACATTGGATATAAAAAAGAGGGAAGGTTGTAATCACAGATGCACAAAATTACTTCCACTAACAGACGCAACAATTCAATAAGGCATACTACCTCCGTCCCACTATGTTTGGGACAAAGGGGTGTTGCACAACTTTTAAGAAAAAGTGAAATTGTGTGGTTGATATTGAAATGATAAAGTGTGAATAAAGTAAGAATGAATTGTAACCACCCAAATATTACCAAATATGGTATGGGACAAACTTAATGGGACGGAGGAAAAAGGTAAAACGGGACAAAGTTAGGGGGGGAGTACTATTCATTGTTCATAGGCATACCAGCAATTGATCAAGCCTGGAGTGGACACCTCCATCACTCAGTAGCCCAATAAAGTGCAAAGTTCCAGTTTGAAAGCTTTCTTTAATGTAATTGAATCCTTCTCCATCATAAATTTTTCCAGAAGCAAGGGCCGAGTCAACAAGCTTTGCACTGCACAAGATTATAAAAAAAAATTATTAAACACAAAAAATAGACGAAGCAGTAAAGTTACATCCTGAAACATGTATAGTTAGAGTCTAGAGATAACTACAACTGCAGTAATGTGCAGACTGTGCAATAAAAGTAAGACCAAATTTCTAATCTTTATCTTTACCTTTGGTTTTAAAGTTTATTATTACAATTGGTTTTAAGTTTTAACATGGTCAATATATAAATTCTGTATGCATACATATAACATCAATGTATACACATAATCACATATATTGAAAAATAGTCAGCACAAGCGTAATAATAAAAATGAATGAACAGACCCTTGGGCAAAGATCCTTCCAGCACCGAGGGCATTGTGGCCAACCTCACTGTTGCCCATGTCATCTTGTGTGGGGAGACCCACTGCATGACCGTGTGCTGTGATCAACCTCCATGTATCCGGATGACCCTTCACATATGTACATAAAAAGGACCTCAAATTCTTGTCTTTTAAAGATTAAACAGAATAATGAATGAAGGCAAACAAAAACAAAAATGAAATTTTGAAGAAAGAAACCTTTGAAGAAAAATAAATACCTGTTTGAAAGAATCCATGGTGGGAGTTTCAGCAACGTGGATAGCGTTATACTCATTAGCTTTAGCCTCGCCCCATCCATCCAAAACGATCAACGCGATGGTTTTCCCTTTGGGGAGCTTGGGATGGTCGTTCAATTTCCATGAAATTCCAGAGCTACCCATCTCTCGGATCTTCTTCGTTTTCTCCTAGATCTGATCTTTGTTCAATGCCAAAAACAAAGGTCAATGAATACAAAACATCGGACTATGTATGAAGAGGTTGCGGAAGAATCAACAAAATCGAAAGAATCGGAGCGGGGAATATACCTCGGGGAAACAGAAGTGCAACTAATTCTCCGTGCGAGAAACCCGTGGGCGAGCAGCAAAGTGAGAAATCAAGGGACGCTTGGGCTATTCGTTGGTGGTTGGATTGTAACACCAAAAGCAGTTATATCGTACACCACTCTAGGTTGAGCACGTTAGGTCGGAGGCAAGGCCAAGGGAGACTTTTACTTAGGGTTGCCAAGGACTAACTTACCCTTTTCAATTCTTTAATTAAAAATAAAATTATTTCATATGCCAATGGGTGAGGGGTGAGCACCATTCAAAGACCCGATCAGAACTGGCTTGGACAGAGTTGGAATCACCAAAGTAATTGGACCGAATGTCAGATTGAAATAATTCCGGTTCAAGACCGGATCAGATTGAATGTGTCTTATTTTGACCTGGCCAGACTGATATGGACTGGATTTTACTATCAAATTATTTTTAGAGGTTTGAAAAAAGAGAACCATTACTTTTATTATAAATATTCCAAGCAGTAAAAAACTCTCCACAACACATTCTCGCTCTTCAGGTACCCACAAAATCAAACAGTCCTCTCACTTTCTGACCAAACATAAAAGAGTCCACCATAGAAAGAGAAATATTTTTTGTTGAACATGCAAGTGATTCAATATTCAAAGTAACATTCGACTTTAGAAGCCAAAATGCTTCCTCCCATGGGACAAAACCATCAACGTTCACAAAACCCATCCAAAACACATAAAATAGTCTCATTAAAAAGGTACGATATAACAATAAAAACAATAACAATAAGCAAATATTAAAAGGGTCCACCACCCCCGTCAATCCCCTCCGCCCCACTTCTGTCCAGCAACATACTTAACATTTCAATTAGCGAGCCACCATCAGATAGCCCGCCTCTCCCCCATTTTTTGAGGGGCATACTTCACCTTCATTCCAGTACTAAAATCAACCTGCGTCACTTCCTCAACTCTCGTCCACTTTTGGTTAAATTTTATTTCGTAGTCAGAGTGACTACCATGAACCTGTATTCCGTAATCTTGCTCCCTTGCATCTTATTTCACATAACTCATCTCGTGCATCATGTTGTTCTCAATCTGCTCACGCATAGTGCATATTTCTGACGAGACTAGCCACGTGTACATGTTAGTTTCTGATGGCACTCTACACTTGGAGGCTTTGAGCCATGGCCCAAAAGGACTCGTTTTCCCTTCCTCACTTTTTTCCACTGGATGGAGAAAATATTTTTCTTCCTGATCAATAATTCCACACAAAAAACAGAAGTTAGAAAGCTTCTCATAACAGATATTGATCCAAAAGCATAGCCTCCCTAAGTAATTTTAAACCTTTTTAAGTGATTTTCCAATAGCCAGAGTCACCTTAATTTGCATGAAAGGATTCTAGGAAACAGAAAAAAATCCCCATCCACTTTTAATTTATAAATATCCTTAACCCACTTCCAATTCTTTCAGCTCCATTTAAAGAAAAACAACCAACCGATAAATCATGAATTTGCTGGGTTGTTGATCGGACCACATAGGGACTGTCAGGTCGTTGACTAGACCGAACAGGGATCGCTGGGTTGTTGACCAGACTAGACATGGACCGCTAAGTCGTTGATCGGACTAGACCGAACCAGACCGAGATAGGGGCTTTCGGGTTGTTGACCGAATCGGATTGGATCGGGACTGCCCGACCATCGACCCGACCAGACAAGTATCGCCAGGTCGTGGACCAGACCGGATAGGGACAACCGGGTTGTTGACAGGAACGGACCAAATCTGAGGAGCGGAACCGGGTGCACCAGTAAGCGTAAGTATGCAAATTCATTGCAGCAGCACATCAACATCCACATTTTTCAAATTTGGAAAATTAATAAACCCTCTTCTCCAATTCATTTAGAAAACATAGACATATCTATTTTTTTGTTTTGAAAAATGATTTGATAAACACATTTTCATGTTTCCCTTCCTTTAGTTTTCTGGCTATTTTTTCGGTAAACACATTTTCTATTCCCTTTTTCCACTTTTTTAGTTTTCTGAAAAATAGGAAAATATCTGTGTTACTCCAAATGTTTCAGTAAAAAGGCCCTATGTTTTGTAGTTATAATGTAGCAGATTCAACTAATTCAATCAAAATATCGTAAATTTTAGCAAATTCTGTGTCATAAAAACCATATGAAACGACTACAAACACATTATATAAGAGACAAAGTTTTAGAGGTAAAATACAATTAACAAAAAACCACTTTTTTAATAACATGTTGTTCATAAAAGCAGCTAAAACAGTAAAACTAACCAATACAATTATAAATTTTTAACCAATACTTTTGTTTGGTTTGTTTGTTTGTTTGTGCGTGTCTAGCACCCCGTGAAGGAGCTGTCCAAGGCCCTAAATTATGAAGCTCAAGGCATATTCCTGTTCTATCGTCGGGCAGTCGGGCTTGAAAGTCAATACTACGAGTTGGATATCATGCATTTTGAAACTCTCACGGTCAGACACGATATTGTTCCTTTGTTTTTTTTAGTATCCACAATTTAGAATATACAAGTATTGTTTACAGACAATATATTCTTCTTTTAAGTACGTCCAAACTCATTTAGATGGAGGACGGTTTGGACTTTGGAGTATTTATTCCTTCACCTAGAAAGTACAAATATTAAATCAATATATGTTAAATTAAGTTACAAAATCATTGTAACCGAGCATTTCAGTTAGGGATGTCAAAAAAACCCGACCCGCAATGACCCGCCCTGGCCCGACACATTTGGGGTGGGTCCGCCCCGCCTCGTCTTGCAAATGGGGCGGGTCCGCCCCGCCCGCTTATATGGGACGGGTCCGGGTATTAGAATTGACCTGTGCCGCCCCGACCTGACCCGTTCAATATATAAGTATACATACTTTTTCTTAACGTATACTACAAATATACTTCAACATACATATGTGTGTATACAATAAATCATAAGAGTATATGAATATATATTAGAATGAGATGCACGACGGATTTTATATAGAATTTTAATACATTTATTCAATTATTAATATAACTAATTAGATTAACTATTCAAGTTTGAGTAATTTTTCCTTGATTTTTGAAATTTCTCCTTAATTTTTGAAATTTTTAGCGTATCATGAATTTGATTTAATATATTTATTTTAATTATTATTTAGAGATAAACATTATGTAGATTCAATTGGTAACAATTTCGCACAAATAAAAATACAAGTTTGGACTCGTGTAGGTCACGAGGCTGCCCCGTCAAGTCACGGGGCGGGTCCGGGTCTTGCAATACCCGCCCGACCTGACTCATTGCCATGCCTAATTTCAGTTCGCTGGACGAGAGATCATGTCTCGAGTTCTAAACCCATTAGGCACAAATAGAGGAGACTAGAGAGAGGTCTTCCTCCAACTATTCTTCCTGCCTTCGCCCTGATCATAAAAAAAAAAACAAAATCATCCTCCAAACTCAAAAAGTAAAAGTTATTTTGTGAAACGTGAAAAAGAGAAATGGAAGTACAAAATAGTGAGGACCACACCGATATAAGTTGCCTTTTTTATTCCTCGATGGCTTCTCATCTCAGCAATATCAATCATATTAATTAATATCTTCACTCCCATCTTCAATTCCTCTCTGTCTAAACACTATCCTGAAATCTCCAATTTGCAGGAAAGAAGAAGAAGAAGAGATGGCGCCGCCGTGTCCTTCTCCGATCGCCGTCGTCTTAGCTGCCGTCTTCGTTCTTGGCCAGCTTTCAGGATTTGCAGACGCTTACGTGAATTATACTGTGGGTGGTACCGTGGGCTGGACCGACAACGGTTCTGTGGATTACCAGAAATGGGCCTCCAATAACACTTTCTCGCTCGGCGATTTCCTAAGTACCTTCTCTCAATTATTGCTTAACTTTTTTACTGTCTTTTATTAGAAGAAGAAGATTATTAGAAGATTAGATTGTTATTAAACGGCCAGGATCATCTCGTCCTGCCTTGTGATCAACGCAACCAAATCCAACAGAGCCTCTAGATCTGTTCTTTTTAGAAATAAATCAAAACAAATAAAAATGAATTATTGTGAAGAACTGAAAATAGATAATTGAAATACCATACCGTCCATATTTTTTATTATTAAAAGCTAGAAAATGATTTTTTTTTTAATCCCATTATCTGACAGATTCATTTCTTTTCATCTAAAACTTTTTATTTGGTACGGAGTATTCGTTTTTTTATTATTATTTCATGGACCTATATTTTAGCGCACAAGGTACCAAATGACTTCATTTTTCTTACTTTTATTTATTTGTTTATTTAATTTTCTTAATTTTTCTAAATTTGGGGCCAGATCTATTAAATTGGATGTGATCATAAGGCTCCCCAGAAGTAGAAACAATGATGGAATATTTGCTTTTACCTCTTTTATGTTCATATATATGCTATGCATTCTACACTTTAATAACTAGTCAAACTCAATTAGGGAAAGGTGGGTACCGTTTTAAGGCAATCAGTGATTTGCTACACTTACTTTCACTTAGATTTTGTTTCTAATAAGTAGCAACTAGCAATCATTAATTAATTATTTAACAGTGAATTAGGATGCGGGAGATTTTATATAGGTATTATTTTTTAACATGTTCTAAGCCAAGAATATGATTACTTTTTATATAAGTACATAAATACGGCTTAAATATGTTATTAATTTCTATAAATGTGGCACTTCTTGTTTTTATCTCTTCCAGAGTTTTTATTTATATATTTTTTATCCATGTAATTTACAATGTTTTCTTTTTCAGTTCATGAAATATTGATCAGTTACGTATGTAGTACATGATTTTACTCCAAAACTTTGGCTTCATTTTTGTTACTTTTTAGAGACTAATACTGGAATTAAAACGAAGTGAATCTAATTGCATTTGAAATCACACGGCAAAACAAGATAGAAAAACTATTATTTGGCGTTGTTGGTAGCTAGCTAGAATCGATGAGAGATTAAAAAGAAAATAAATACCCGTAGTATAAATTAAAAGGACGAAATACAAAAAGTAAATTAACAGAGACATAAAACCAAAGAACATTATATTTATAAACCTCTAAATACTAAAAAACTGACTATATACATATTATTTCCACTTTGACACCACCGCCTTCACAATTACGCAACTCCACCTGTCACTAAAATAAAATTGTCGAAGACCGTTTGGGACAGGGATGGACCCGGGGCGGTTCCGGTTCGGGCCTGGGCGCGGTTGGGCTTTTGTTTAGGAAGTAGGGAACCGGAACCGGCCCGGGTAGCCGGCGGTTCCGGGCCGGGCCGGTTTCCGGTTCAAGTTTTTTT